TCCCGGACTAGCGAAGCCAGGCAGCACAGGGCAGGGTGGCTGCCAGGATGCTGCATCACCCAGTCTCTTTTTTTTTTTGAGATCTTTGCTATAGGGCATGTGTGCTCCCTAGAGAGACAGAGAGACAGGATTCTGTCTCAGGATCTTGGGCACACACACACATGTGCCCAGTGTGAGTTTTAAACCACCAGGTCCGGGACATGAACCGTGGTCAACTCCATGGGAGCCCAGCGACATAACCATTACGCCATCTGCTGGCCCCTCCTTTCTTATGTCTCTCAGGAGGCCTCTGACCTGAGGCAGGATACTTAACCTGCCTGCGCCTCCATTCATTCCTCAGTTAACCGTGTTCGGAGACCTGTGGGGTTTAAGTGAGCTAACACCCTCAGCAAGTTGCCTGGCACAGTGCTCAGCCAACGCAGGCATTATCGCCCTGACAGCCACAAGCTGTCGGACAGACATGGGGCCTGGCCCTCTTTGGGGGTGCCACAAGAGCTCTACGGAGATGACAGAACAAAGACTGAGTCTCATTTGGCTTCAGCTGCAAGAGCCCCAAATCCTGAAGACCCCAGAAACCACTGTCTGCTCAAGGCCTGCCAGGGCTCTAGGGGCTACTCAATGCCACAACCGAATAAGGAGCCAGGCCAGGCCAGGGTGCCGGAGTCCCAGGTCTACCCGGCAGGCGCCGGGCTGGGGTAGAACCTGGGTGCCTGACAACAGCCTGTCTGGGCTCTCTTAAACAGGCATGCAGCTCGCCAGGGGACAGCACATCCTGCAGGCCCTCCCATGCGGGCAGACCCACACCGTGGGCCGCAGCCTGCCAATCCGCTCGGCAGCTCCATCTTCCCAGCGGCTCCTGCACCTCCAGCTGTCATCTTCGCCTGCTGTCAAATGCCTCTCCAGACCAGGAGATGGTCCTCCCCTTCCCTGAGGTTGCTGACCCGGGTCGGACCCCAGGCTCCGTGTCTCTGTAACCCACGCCCCACAGGCCCACGCTCCCTCAAGTTACTCCTGTTGCAGTTGGTATTTCATCAACATTAGCCTTTGTTTTCATTTTTCCAAAAGCAAATAGTGACTATTTTTTCAAACTATAAGCATTTCTCCCTGATGGTTTTCTCTGAATAGCAATCTAAACTTATCTCTGCTTTAAAAAAAAGGCACTGTTCTGAGCTACCCAGGGCAGTTGTCTGGTCTCCTCCTGAAGGCCACCAGGACAACAGCAACAGGGCAGTCAGTCACTGTGCCCACCGGGTGCCACTGTGCTCACGCCCTGGGGACTCTCTCACCATGCACACAGCATGCCCCTTCTATAGGTCAGGACAGCAGACAGACAGAAGGCCATGTCCCCAATGTCCCTGTGGGGTTGGGGGTGAGGCAGCCGCAGCAGGGACCCACCCTCCACAGTGCCATGCTCTGCTCTGGGGGGAGGCAGGATCTCTCTCAGGGGTGCTGGGTGCTTTAAATGAAATAATGTGTGTGAGGTGAACCCCACAGGGCTTCACGCCCTGACACCAGACCCATCTGGGAGGCCCCCCAGATAGTCTTCTTTCCTGCCCTCCCTCAGCCTCCCTGGGGGCTGACCCCGGGGGTTTTCTCAGAGGGATTAGCTAAGTCATTTCCATTCTAAAGCCTCCATTGTTTAGCATGCACCAAGTTCTGGCTCCAACCCCAACCCCAGCCCCAGCCTCGCCCTCACAATTCAGTCACAAGATGGAGTCTGGAGCGCGAGGTCCCTCCTGGTGCAAGGCGCAGCTTTCCTCCTCTCGGCCCAGGCCCGGCGCACACCCAGGTCAGGCTGCAGCTCTCACGCCCCCCCCACCCCCCGAATGCCCGAAGGACGGCCCCTCGGCCCAGTGCTGCACCCTGGGCAGTCCGAGGAGAGCACGTGCACAGGACAGGATGGAGACAGCGGTTCGAGCCTTTTATTGACCATTCTCCGTTATACAGATCCTTCCCGCTCAGCTCCAGTGTCAGCAAAACGGGTACGCTCACCCTCAGCAGGGCAAGGGCCTGCCAGGTTCCCCAGGGACGGGTACCCTGGCTGGCCTGGGGCAGGTCTCTGGCTGCTAAGGCCTAACTCAGCTGCCTGGCCTGGCAAGAAAGCCAGCCTAGGACAGACTGCCCTGTCCAGCCTGCCTCCTTGGGTTGCTGCCTCAGGTACGGACAAGTCTCAGTAGCTTGCGGGTTCATTCCAGGTAACCCACAACTCGACTCGAGGGAGGGTCCTGGGTAAGAGAGGGCCCCCATCCTCTTCACCCCATTCCTGTGCAACACATTCCCAGGAGCCATGCAATAAATAAATAAATACTTCAAAAGGGCAGGGTAGCTCCAGCGGGAGGACGGGCCTGAGCTAGCTCATGGCTTAGAGAGGCGGTGGGCCCCCACAAGCCCACAAGTAGACGTGAAGTTGCTGGAAAGAGGATGGGGGCCCCAAGTGGCCTTACCCCTTAACTGAGACTGTCCTGTGGGGCACAGCCTAGGACCTGGCCCAGCATGACCTACACCTCCCAGGCCCGAGGATCAAGGGCTTCAGTACCTCTGCTCTGCTCTCCTGACCTCACTCCACAGGGCAAGGAGTGGAGAAGGGAGAGGTGGTGCTGGGCTGAGAAGGCCTGCCCTAACTCCAGCATGGGGCGCAGGACGGGTGATCTGAGTGCCCTGCAGCACTGGGGCCAGCGGGGCATCACATGGGCTGAGATTCTGCCAATCACAGTCTGCATCCTCTGGGCAGCTGCGGCCCCGTACTCTGCCCCACTTGATAGGCCCACTGGCAAGCCCTCCTCCCTGTTCTCTGCGGAACGTGGGAAGTCAGCCCACTTCCAGCAGCACTCCCGATCTTCTCAGCCCTGAGCACACCCTCTGATGGGAAATGATGGATCCCAGTGCCCTGAGGGCCACTTGAACAGCAGAGTGGGATGTGGGACTCCCAAGCCCTTCTGCAGGCTGAGGCAGAGGCCAAACACTTCAGGGAAAGAACCTCTTTCCCCATTCGCAGTCTCCGAGACTTTGCAGGCCTGGCCAGACTGCGCCGACAGAGCCCAGAGAACAGGTCTAGCTCACTGCTGCCCTCTAGGGGATACTCCCTGCCCAGCCCTGGGTCCACTCAGCCCAGAGCAGCGCCAGGCAAACATGCCAGACCCTCCAGGTGCTCCCTCAGTGTCCGACAGCAGCCACTGCCAGCCACCCACAGGAGCAGGGAATAATTCCGGAACCCAGCTGGGGACAGTGAGGGAAGGGAGGGGTAGCCTACCTAGCACTCAGTCCACATTAGCCCATCATGGGCTACAAGGGGCCAGGGGTGGGGTAGGGGTCTGCTGCTGGCCCCGAAGATTGGCACCGGGTTGGACCCCGGCCTCTCTTCTCACTTGCTCAAGGTCTGGTTACACGAGGCACACACGAACACAGTCTCTCTCTGGGCTTCAGGGGCTGAAAAGGAGGAAGAACTTGGTGAGACACACCCTTGTGCTGTTCGGCTCATGGCTCCAAATACCACTGGGTCATTGGAAAAGTCATGACGCGTTTTTGCATAGAAAAACAAAAATACACCATGACTTTTCTGACCTAACAGAACCTTCTCCCAACAGCCCCAGACACCACCCAACACCTAGCTCACACCCACCCTGACCCAGCTCAGAGTTCCTCCTTCCTCGGGAACCAGGGACCCTGGGTGGTTTCTCCCAGGGGTTCTATGCATTAAAAATTATTTTGGCACCAACAGAACACCCCTAAAAATGCTTTTCTAAACAAAATACCAGAGAAATGTTTCTCAGAGGTTATCTTTGGGTGTTAAGAAACGTTTTAACAAAGGTTATATTACAGGACTAGGGGCCAGCACGTGGCGGTTAAGGCATTAGACTCCCACATGGCCAACCATGGTTCAAGTCCCAGACCTGGCGGCTTGCTTTATCACTTTCCCTCTCTTTTTCTTTCGTCAAATTAAAATAATAATAAATAAAAAAATTTAAAAAGATTACAGGATTATTTTTCTCTTCATTATTCTTCTGTATAATTTCTAAATCTTCTAGTTAATAAGACTGGGTTCTGGGACCAGCAGTTGGCATGATGGCTATGGCACTGGACTCCCACAGTCGACTGCGGTTCAAGTCCCAGACCCGGTGGCTTAAACTCATGCCAGGTGCATGTGCGTGCGTGCCCAAGATCCCAAGAGGAGAATGAAGAAGGGATTGCGGCGTGGCCACCCCCCTCCAACGGTGATTTCTCGCTTTGTCTCTGTCTCTCTCTGTCTCTCTGGCAAGCACACACACCCTATAACAAAAACCTCTCTTTAAAAAAAAAAAAAAAAAAAGCCTGGGTTCCTTAAGTGATCAGAGGAACAGAAACCACCTTGGTTTAATGTTATAACCTAGCACGTGGCAGTATGTGGGATGGATCACATGTCTTAAGGACATGCACACGCACTCATCCTACATGCGTGCCAGTGACAGGCAAGACCCTCTCTGGGAAGATTACCACCACTTTTCTTCCCTTTGCTTACACTGTATTTTTTGTGTTGTTTACATATATGCACAACTTTTTTAAGAGCAAAAGGAATGATTTCTTATTTCCGTGTGTGTTACACTGTAATGAGAACAACAAAATCCACGGTGGTGATATCTCCCAGGGAAGGGGGCAGAGGTGCAGGAGATCCGGCAAGGCCGCCAATGCTGCGTCACCCTCGGGGAAGTGTCACCCTCGGGGAAGCGGCCTGGGTGTCCACTCTGTCCCAATGCCTCATGCCTTGCAAGTACGTGAACCTGCCCTCCCGCGTGTACCAGACATTTCTGGTGTAGTTAGAGCAGGGGGAGTCGAAGTCACTGGGGCCTTGGCTAGGATCCCGAGCTCTCCGCCCTCACGGACCCTCGCCCCTTCAGCATGGCGTGGTACCTGCCCACCGCCCGCCATCCACCACCCACACTGACCTCAGCCGCCTGCACGTCTTACCTGTGGCCCCCATGGAGGACTTGGGCACCTTGAAGGAGCAGCACCGAGAGCAGAAGCTGTTTCCACAGTTACTGCAGCTCCGCTGTAGACGAGAGTCAGGACCAGGGTCAGCTGTGTCCCTCACCCCTGCCACCTGGACCCACACCCTTCCCCTTCCCACCAGCCAATCTCAGCCAAGGGGACAGGAGGGAATGAGAGACCAAACCCCTGTGGGGAGGAGGGATAGGCAGGAAGGCACAGGCCTAGGGCAGGAAGACCAGCCACTTCAGTAGGACGCAGAGCCCTGCCCGTGTCTCACCACAGTGCTGCTGTCCAGCACACGGTCCCCAGTAACGCACCATCAGACTTACCCTCTTCTTCAGCACCGAGAAGGTGGCTGAGCAGCCGGTACAGCTCCCTAAAACAGAGGGGTGGGACCAGCAGAGGGCCTAATGGTTACATTACTAGACTCCCACCAGGGTTAAAACTCACACCAGGCGTGTGTGTGTGCGTGTCCAAAATCCCGAGAGGAGAATGGAGAAGGGACTGTGGTGTGGCCATCCCCCTCCGGGGGGGGGGGGGATTATTTCTCACTTTCAGTCTCTCTGTCTCTGTCTTTCCAGTGAGCACACATTCCCTATACAAAAAAAAAAAAAAAACAGGGGCAGCTCAGAACTGAGCCAGTCCAGGCCGCTTGAAGCTCGACTGCTCCTGGCTCTTTTGGGGATCTCAGGATGCCATGACAGCCCGGCCTAGTCCAGCATCCTTGTGTGGAAACTGTGAGCAAAGCTCAAAGCTACCAGGAGAGACTCAAACTAAAAAGGGAAAGGCAACAGCCCCTGAGAAGTGACGTAGCAAGTACAGACAGCCGCCAGTCCTGGGCTGGGCCCTCTGCAGAAACTGAAGGGTGTCCAGAGGAATCGACTCCCTGGGACCCAGCTAAGTGGATGGGGCCTGACCACAAACATCCTCCAATGAAACCTGCTTGACGTGACCACTTCCAAAGTGTCTCCCACGGATATGCTGCCCCCAGGGCAAGGGTGTAAGTGACCCCTGAAGGGAGGCGGTGGTGCAGTGGTTGCGTGGCACTCCCACACCGGAAGGTTCCCAAGCACAGAGACCTCCCTAAGCAGAGGAGGGCTCTGGGCCCATGAGCAGGTGCACCATAGCATCAAGACCCTACTGGGGCTGCTGTCTCTGTCTCTGTCACTCTTGCTCACAAAGACATAAATAAATCAACTTAGAAAGAGAAATGCCTCCTGGCCACCTAGGTGCCTGCTCTCTGCCCTCTGAAGAGTCTAGTGGAGAAGATCGGAGAAGACCCAGGGCAACACACTCGTGCACCCCGGACAGCACCAGGAGAGAGCCCACCTAAACCATCAGTGCCCACAGAGCTTTCGACAGTGGTGAGACGACACAGGCTATGAGAGACAAAGGAGGGGACGAGATGAGGGGCTTCTGGGATGTGGGGCCCAAAGGTGTGCTGTGATATGGCCAGGGCACCTAGGAGCTGCAGGGAGCACGCGGTGCCCCTAGGGCATCAGTCGGGCCAGGTAGAGAGCGAAGGCCCCCGCTACACTGACAGCTCCCTCTGTCCAGTCAGATCTCCTACAGCTCTTGCTAAAGGAAACTCCCCAGGGTTCGAGACCCTGGCTGGAGCTGGAAAAACCTGAGGCTGAGGTCCTGAAGATAATGCCCTTTGCTGGTGGCGAGCTGGCAGCTCCAGGCAGAGGGAGAAGGTAGAGCATGGCCATGCCTGCTCGTGGTGCCAGCCCAGGAAAGGGGATGCCCCAAGAAGCAGCCTCCCGCTCCATGAGCTTGGAGAAGGCAGCCTGCCCGCCTCCCCTCAGCAAGGAAGGCAGGAGCTCCTCAGACAGACACCAGACCCATGGCCGGAGCTCCTCTTAGATGATCAAGAGCCAGGGCCACGCACCCAAGGGCACCACGTGGTCTGGTGAAACCACCATGCAGGACCAGCAGTTGGCGTAATGGCTATGTTGCTGGACTCCCACTTAGTCTACCGTGGTTCAAGTCCCAGACCCGGTGGCTTAACTCACACCGGGTGCGTGTGCATGGGTACCCAAGATCCAGAGAGGAGAATGGAGAAGAAGGAACTGAGGCGTGGTCATCGCCCCTGGGGGGTGATTTCTTGCATTCTGTCTCTTTCTCTCTCTCTTTCTGGCGAGTGCATGCACCCTATAGTCAGAAAAGAAAAGAAAAACCTCTGCCAAAAAAAAGAAGAAAAAGACACCACCACGCAGCCATGCACAGATGGCAGCCAGGCCATCCCATTCCCTGTCAGCGCCTCCCCAGGCCTTTCTCAGTCTGCCCTCGGCCAGAGGACAGGCTCTAGCCTAACCACCACATGACAAGGCCAAGGAGACAGGAGAGTGGGGGCTGCCGAGGAATGCGCTCAGAGCCTCCAGCTCAGAGGCGGCCCTCCCTGCTGGGACTCTCCCACTCAGAGGACACAGTCAAGCTCTTGGGCAGCCCTGAGTCCCCTATGCACTAGCAACCAGAACGAAACAGCCCCTGGCATGGTCCCCCAAGTCCACACGGCAAGTCCTAATCCCCCAGTGATGGTATTAGAAGGTAGGCCCTCCAGCAGCTGGTCGGCAGAGCTCTCACAGATGGATCAATGCCCCTGTAAAAGGGGCCCCGAGAAAGGCCGGTGAGTACACGAGCAGGCGCCGCCTATGAGCAGCACAGAGGGCCCTCGCTGGAGTCTGGTCACGGTGGCGCCCTGGTCTCCGGCCATGAGACATAAACGTGCCGTGGAAG